ATGAGTAGTGGGGTGGGATTCTGAAGATAGAGGCAGGAAAATCGGGAGTTCAAAGCCAGCCTTGCTACAGGAAATCCTGTCCCAGAAAAAATGAAAAGGTAGATCACGTATGTCAGGTGCTCTCCTCTGGCCCCCTGTGCAGGATCAGAAAGCTAGGTAATCCCCATAGGATCAAGGAAATAGAAGGGGAATATATAATATAAATATAAAGAGAATCTTATGCCTGGTTTGGGAGGGGTGGGGGCAGATATAGAAATGATTTTTTTTTTCTTAATGAGCCTTTCCACCCTCAGCACCATTCTCGAGGATGGAAACTGTTATGCAAACCCTCGGTGCTTAGTGCTATGGTAACCATCTTATGACCATGAAGGTTGCAAACCAGGAGACTGGAAAGAGTTAATATAAATAGCAATAAAATAACTCTTAGAGCACCCACAACTCCTTGGATGCTAGCTAAATCCTGATTATTTGGGCCACAGCAATTTTCATGTCATTTAAATGTTTCCTGGCAGCTTCGGGGTATCGGTAAAAGTCCCCATGGTGGCATCACAGGGGACCACAAGGCCATGATCAGTTTGCTCATATGAGACATATGAGAGTTGACACAGGAGAGCCAAAGTAATTAGTTGCTGTACAATGACTGCAAGTCATTTGTGGAGATCGCTGGGGCCATCTTACTGGGGTAATTAAATCATCTAATATGTAATGTGTGGCAAAAGCCATAGGCTAAAGGCAAAAGAACCGATGGAAAAGTGCATCAATTGGTGATGTCTGTTATGGGCACAAAACAGTGGAACAGTAGCATCATCGTATCTACTGATGTATCTCAGGTCTGCTTGGTTGGTGCTCCTGGTTGCTCACTCCAAAGCTGAATCTGGAGATAAGCATGACAGGAAGTGGTCCATTTCTACTCCAGGGCTCAAAATCAAGTGTTGAAGTCCCCGGCCAACCTGGGCTTCTTTTTACCCAGCCAGGGTTCCCTGCAGGCCTGCAGTAGAAGGTCTCCACACAAGTTACCCTCCTTTAAAAATGTGGTAGCCCGAGAGCCAGATCTCACGTCCAGTCTTAAGCCTCCAGCAGTGCCTGGCACAGTGCAAACAGAGACTGTGCTTTGGTGTCCCAGCTGCCCAGACCTGGATAATCACACAAAAACTATATTAATTACAACACTGGCCAATGGCTCAAACATATGCCTAGCTAGCTCTTATGTCTTAAAAACCCATTTCTATTCATCTGTGTATTGCCACAAGGCTGTTGCTTACCGGTAAGCTTATGGCGTCTTTCTTCTTGGCGTCTGCCTGCCTCTGCCTTCTTTCTCCCTGCATTCAGTTTAGTTTTCCTGCCTACCTATATTCTGCCCTTCCATAGGCCAAAGCATATTTATTAAGCAATGGTAATAAAACATATTCATACCATACAGAGGGGAATCCCACATCAGCACAGACTCCAGTATTTAACAGATATTGCAGTCCTGTGTCCAGAATAATTACAGGGGCACTGAATTAATTATTTTTCTATTGCTTTGATAAAATACCGTGACCAAGAGGCTTAAAGAAAAGCAGTTTGTTTGGCTTCTGATTCCAGAGGATGGGATGGTGGGAAGGGTGTAGCCACGAGACCAGGAAGCTTAGGGATCCTATCTCAACTGTACACAGGAAGCAGAGGGGACAAACCGAAAGTGGGGTGAGACTGTAAGCTCTCAAATCTGACCCCCATCTTCCTCCATCAGGGAAAACCTTCTAAGGTTCCATATCTTCCTCCAATGAGCACAAACAACAGGGAAACATGTAGGAAACGTGAGGACGCTTCTCATCCGAACACAAAAGGCCCTGAAAACATCTCTCGACCCCACCCCACCTTTAAGACACTTATCCACGGAGCATCTTGATGTTTCCAGAAATATCACCTGCAAGAGAGTGAAACATAGCTAGCTAGATTAGAGTCCTGCCTCTGCCCCAAGCACCACTCAGACTTCTAGGAAGCCCCCAGCTTTCTAAGCCTCTGCTTCTCACACGCAAGACACAGACAATTCCAGAAATCCTATGGCTAAAGCAAAATGTCCACAGGAAATAGATGGAGGACTTCGCAGCCACGAGCCACAAATCCATCTGGGAGGTGATCTACTGACTTGCAGAGTAAAGAGCATGCTCAATGCCCTGGCACAAGACGGACAGGCCTTACACAGGAAGGCAAATCTGGACTTTAATTATTCTATCACTCAACAGATGCTTGGTGAGACGTGCCTCTCCCTGTGTGGGAAGACTAGCACAGATGAACATGGGACAAGGATGAACATGGCACATGAAGTGCCCACACCCCACTCCCCGGAGACAGAGTCTAACTCTTCTTTATGTAGCTATGTCACTGAGGGTAACTTTGAATCTCAGATCCTCCTGCCCCCCGTCTCCTGGGTGCTTATGCAGTGCCGGGGATCAAACCTGGGACTTCCTGCATGTTAGGCAAGCTCCTCATCCCTAAGGTACAGCTCCTTGAGGAATGCTTCTGCATGGAGATGCACTGTGCATCTATAGCCACTAGCCATGTACTGCTCATGTGACACAAAAATAGATTTAAACTGAAAGCTCAGTAGCACGGTGGTAGTAGTCCACGGGAATGTGCTCAAGGCCCGGACAGAGCGGACTTGGGCTCAGCCTGGTGGGACACACCAACAGACAAAGCCTCACAGACCGAGTGTCCCTGGGAAGGCCCCAGCCCTTTTCATTTTTGAGATAAGTTAAGCCAGTGGAGCTACTTGGTTTTGGGGGTTATTTATTTTTATATGATTAACATTTTATATGTTTAACTGAATACATCTTTTTTATTGTTCTTATTGAGCTATACATTTTTCTCCCTTCCCTCCCTTCCTCTCCTCTCCCCTCCCCTTCTACTCTCTCCCATGGTCCCCGTGCTCTCAATTTACTCAGGAGATCTTGTCTTTTTCTAGTTCCCATGAAGATTAGATCCATGTATGTCTCTCTTTTGGTCCTCTTGGTTGTCTAGGTTCTCTGGGCTTGTGAACTGTAGGCTGGTTTTCTTTGCTTTATGTCTAAAAGCCACTTATGAGTGAGTGCATTTGTTTGATGAGCCTGCAGTGGGCTGAGCATTTGAGAGCCTAACTCCCTAGCCCAGTGGTTCTCAACCTGCGGATTGTGACCCTTTGGGGTTGAAACAATCCCTTCACAGCAGCTGTATACCTGATATCCTGCATATCAGAGATTTACATTACAATTCACAACAGCAGAAAAATTACACTGATGGAGTAGCAACGCAAATGATTTTATGGTTGGGGGTCACCACAACATGCGGTATTAAGGGGTCACAGTATCAGGAAGGTTGAGAACCACTTCTCTAGACAGACTTCACTCTTAGGAGGTCCCAGTGCCCCCAGAGCTGTTCTCTCCAAGGTGGTAGATCCAGCAATCTCTCTGGGAACTTGAGGCTCCTCTGGTATGCTACTGGACATTATAAATGACACCAACTGGACCACTGGGCCATGAAACCAGATGTTGTTCATCCCACACTGAACTGGGCTTTCTAAGGCCAGGCACCTATGAAAAGAACTTTACAATGTGTTCCAGGCATACACCAGCAAACATGTATTAAAACAATCTGGGTTTCACAGAGGAAGGAACATGTAGCAACGTTTAGAAGCAGTCGGTGCCAGTTCCACTAAGCACCACCAGGAGGCAGTGTCCATCCACGTTCCAGTTCCTCAGCCTGACCAGGACAGGCTTAGTAAACCCTTGTACTGCAAAACATTTAATGAGCGCCTACTGTGTACCAAGTACTGTTCTTGGCAAGGGGACACCTCTGTAAACTTGGGGGGAGGGCTCTGCCCTATAAATACGCCCCCTACATGTGTCCTTTAAAAAAAAAAAGGTATTCACCGAGACGTGTGGCCAAGCCACATTGCCTGACCCAGAGAAAACCGACTTGAAGAGCAGGATAGGGGACTTTCTGAGACTGGTGAGACGAAATGCGGGTATTCGAAAAGTTCATAATCCCCAGACACAGGGGCTACGACTACTTCTAAGAGGAGCGTTATTTCTGCAGCCACCTTTCTGTTCCCATTCCAGAGGGAGAGGGGTCGCGTCTTGGCGTCAACATCACTGGGCTTAGAGTGGGTGGCCTCACCTAAAGACCAAAGATGGGAGAAAAGGTGAGCGAGAATGCCAGCTTGCTGCTGCATGGGATGCTAAAGCGCGTCCCCTAGCCTAGGCAGTGCTGACCTCAGACAGCCGGGTGGGGATGTTCTATAGCCCCCCCCCCCCCTTCCATGCAAATCCCACGCCCGCCTTGTGGGCACCGGCGTTAACTGCCCTGAGCATCAGGTCACGCACAGAGACTGGGCTTTCTGTGGGTATGTGTCCCTGGGAGAGTGGCAGGTATGTGCCTACGTGAATGAAGTGTGAGAGACGGTGGCGATCGTGAACAGGGACCCCCACGTGAGTGGGTCACCGTGGTGAGGTTCATGTTTGGGATTGCCGAGGATACCGGTCCTGGATTCAGTGTGCGCAATGAGAAAAGGGAGGGCTGGAGCGGGGTGGAAGGCGCGGAATGTGATCGGTGGGGACCTGCATCATACCGAGGCTTTGGTGACTTTAAAACGCGTGCAGACTCTGAGAATCTGAGCTCAGGACTCTCTTCCGGTATGTGTGGCGAGTGCCCCTCTACGACCCCCGTGGGAATATTGTGTTGTATGTGGCTGAGTGAGAATATTTCTGCACACAGATCAACCTGAGCAATTGAACGACTGGACTCTTACCAGGGAGACGATGACTTCGAATTGGGGACACCGGAGGTTTGTTTGGAGGTGGAAGGCGTTTCTGCGGTCGGAACAAGCCGGGAGACTGGGGTTGCGGCTGCCTGCGGCTGGTCCTGGGCAAAGCAGAGCAGAGCAGAGCAGAGCAGAGCCGCAGAGCCGGCCCGGGAGGGACCTGGTGGGCGGGGCCTACCAGAGGGGCGGGGCTTCGGCTGCTGCAGCGCGGGCCGGGCCAGGGGGCGCCTCGCGCTGCCGCTGCTCGAAAGGACGGTGCAGTGAGGCGGGCTCGGCTGGCGGGCGTGCGCGGAGCGGGGGCCGCGGGCGCGCTGCAGAGATGTGACTCGGGCCCAGGGCCAGCAGGAGCGTCGGCGCTGCGGGGCCGCGAGGGTCGGTAAGTGCCAAGCAGCGCGGGCGCGGGGAGGGCGCTGCAAGGACCCCAGAAACTTTTCCCGCCGTGGGCTTGTGAAGATCCAGAGGGGTCCGAGGCTCATGCTTTTTCTGTTCTCCCTCCTCGGGGTACATCTGCATGGAACGCTGTGGGTGTTCGGGTGAGGGGTGCCACAGTGCGGTGGGAGAGGAGCCGCAGAAGGCTGACAGAGAGCAAGGGTTTGGGGACCTTTATCTGAGGGGGGGGTGTCCATGGACCAGATAGAGAGCCAAAGCTCTGAGTAGGGTCTGGGGTGACGACAGACGATAGGCAGTTGGGAGTAAAGGGGAGTCCGACCCTGTGCTAGTGACCCCTGTGAGAGGCGTCGCAGTCAGGTTTCAGGGTCCAGGCGGGGAGCGGGGCGGGGGTGCTGGCCATGAACTACGCAGACTTGGCCTGGGGAAAGGGCCGACCTTTGGGGACGTGCAACCTCACCTGCCGCAGGGTCTGGGGGACCCAACTTGCAACCCGCAGTGGCCGCGCACTCTTGGAAAAGGGCGCAAGAGGGTGGGCACCACAGGGAGGAAATCTGGGGCTGGGAAACAAATAGTAGGCTGGAAATCCAGGGGCGGCTGCATACGGTTAAGGGGGAGAATTTCTGTCCCAGGCGAGGGCACTTGGGCCTCTAAGGGAGGCAGCCTGGCTAGAGGTAAGGACTACCCGGTGCAGCGACCCCTCTTTCTGGGGGACTGCACAAGGATCCTACACATTTAGAGGACCGGGTGGGAGAGGCAAGCCCAGAAGAGGAGCCCGCACCCCGCCTTAGCGAGCCGTAGCTGGTTAAAAGCTTTGGATCAGCCCACCGACCTTGTCCCAGAGGACGCCCCAGAACATAGGGCTCGTCCCCCTGTTCCTGCTCCGCCAGACCCAGGCCTAGCCTATTCCCCACCCCCCCGTCCCCTTCTTCTGTTCGCCAAGGGGGCGGCTCTTTGGAACAGGGACAAAGGCCCCGGGAGTGTGGCGGGCACCACCGTCCCCGCCTGGGGCCCCAGCACACGCGCCGCATCGGCCGCCCGAGTGCGCCGGGGTGGGGGCACCTGAGCAGCGTCCAGAAAGCTCTGGGGGTCCCCACAAAGACCAGAGAATGCGAGAGAGGCTAAACATACCCACCACCACCGCAGTACTTAGAACGTTACTTCCTAAGTTTCTTCGGTGGGCTCTCGGGGCTTTGGGAATAACCACACTTGGAGTTAAACTACATGCAAATAGCATGTAAATAGAATGCAAATTGGCATCTGTTGGTTGGAAATGCTCCTCCCGGCTAGTTTTCTATCTCGACTGTGAACATTGTTTGCCTGATCCCTTGCTTCTACGTCTGAAAAGGGCCAGCTGAGTTGAAAGGAGGAAAGATGGGAGGGGAAGGGGTTGCAGTTTGGGACCCGGGCAGTAAGAAGAGAGCTTTCTTTATACAGACTCTAATCCTTGCTGGGTTTGTTTGTTTGCTTGCTTGCTTGCTTGCTTGCTTTTCGATACATGTGGTGGACACAACCGAGTGCTGAAGAAATAACTTGTATAAAATGAATAGATCAAGATTGGGGCGGAAGCGGGGACGCGAGACCGCAGAGAAGTGGATGAAGAAACGCTAATTGAGCAAGTAAATACCACCCCATATAACACCTGCTGGGACAGGGCTGCCTGGAAAATGAAGTGAACAGGGCTTGTGGTGCGTGAGGCGACGTCTGCGGAATGGCATTTTTTGAGTGGACCCCAGCGGGGGGGGGGGGCTCCACTTAGAGGGCGATTTGGGGGCAAAGGGCATCCAGGCTGCAGAAGCTTGGAGGTGGGAATGAGCTTGGAGGAAGAGACACAAAGACCATTGTAGCCAGTGTGGGGGCGGATTTGTGGATAGGCGAGTGGGGACCAGAGGCGCTAGACAGATCCTGGTCTCTGGAGTCATGAAAAGGCATTTAGAATTTATTCTGTTCGGGGCCACTGGATCCTTGGAGGGTTCTCAGCAGGAGGCCACGGGGTGTGATTTTTAAAAGTTCCCTTGACCTCCACAAGGAGACAGACGGCAAGCAGCTCCCTTCCTTCCGCTGGCAGGGATGCTGTGTGGTGCAGGGAGTCCCGGCTAAGGATCGCTATGGATCCAGCCTGGGTCAAATGCTCTGAGCCCGAGAGAGCCTTGTGAGCTAATTGGAGGAGTGACTTGAGTTTTTAAAGATCCACCTCTTACTTCTAGACTGTTCTTATCTACCCTAGGGAGCCCCCCACCCAGGGTCCAAGACCTGTGTCGCAGCAGTTTTGAGCTAACTGGGGATTCCGAGTTAGTCACGCTCTCGCCTCAGAACTGCACCCAGAGAAGGAGGTTCAAGCAGCCTAGGCTGCAATTTGCATTTAAATGATTGCTTTTATTTACCGGCTCGCAGCTGCTTTGCATATTCATGGCTCACAGGGCTGACGTTCCTGCTGCACTAAGTTACTAACCTTAGAGGGTCTGTAAAGTTGAGAGCCCCAAAGAGGGCAGTGTCTAGGCAGCCCGGGGTAATGAAAATGATGACACTGTCTAACTTGGAAAAGATATGAGAGGGAGGCAGAGACAGTTTGGGTCTGGGAAAGAGTTTAGTGTCAGGAAACCTTGTAATGGTTTAACCCAGCCAAGCAGGAAACACCTCAGCTCCAGAGGAGTGGGCTGGGACAGAGTGAAATGCTGGGGCTCAAGAGAGATTGGCTTCCAGACTCAATCTGGACTTCTGCCAGACATGGGGCCAGGACTGGGGTACAGTTGTAAGGCCTGAGGTCAGGAGCTGGGAGGAAAATATGGATTCCTAGCTTGGTCTGTAGATTCCATGAAGCCGCTGGCCGGGCGGCTTGACCTCATTGCCTTCACAGTCCCAAAAGGACAATGGGACTCTTGAGCAAGCACCTCCTGCTTCCTCTGGGCAAAGGGCTTTTCCCGTGGATCTCGTTCAAGCAGCACAACCATCTCTGCCTTACCGAGGAGGAGACTGGGGTTTGCAGAGGTTAGGGAACACCGCAGTCACAAGTTCTACTGGCCCACCCTCCCGCTGGGACCTTGGAATCTGAGGAGAGTGTGAACTGCTGCAGGTATTCAGCCAGGTCCTGAGCTGTGACCTATGCTGAAGCTGGGAGCCCCCCACCCCCAGACACACACACCTGCTCATTTTGTCATTTTGTCCTTTTGTGTGTGTGTATGCTGGTTCAAATTCTGCCCTCCTGCACTGTTGTGGCAGGAAGAATGATCTCTTTGGAACCTTGCTCTTAGCTGCAGGGCTAAGGGAGGCTGTTCAGAAGGGTTTCAGGGCAGTTTGGGACATTTTGTTTTCCATCCCTATGGGGGAGACCAAAGGGAAGGGATTCTACCTCCCAGGAGAAGGCCCAGTGTGTGGTCTCTGGCAGCCTTGGCTCTGACTACTTAATAGCCAGGGCTGGTTTCAGGGTCACTGGCCTGGTTCAACCTTGACTGTGAGGCTCACGCTCAGGGCTCCAGTTCCCATTCAAAAGCTTGTCTCCTTCCCACCACCTCCAGGACCTGTTGGCTTTGGCATATGATAGGGGAGACTGGAAACCAGTGGTAGATAAACAGATGGGAGAGCCCCCTCGTGATTCCATCTCCATGGCAACAGCCCCTCCTAGAAAATCCCCAGAAGATGAATTTACCCCTGCAGACAGTGGAACATTTACGTTAGCTAGTGTCCTACACCCTGTAGGACATGTAAGTGTGTATGTTCATGTGTGTACGATAGTAGATCCTCCTGTGTGTGTGCACGAGAGTGTGCATCCATGTTTGCTTATGGCTGTGTGTACATATGGGGGCCAGAGGTTGACATTTGGTGTTGGAGATTCTTTGTCATTTTATTTATTGAGGCGGGGTCTCATAGTGAACCCTGAACTTGCCAGTTCAGCTAGTCTAGCCAGCCAGCCAGCTTGCCCCAGGTAACCAATCTTCACCTACTGGGATTACAGCCCTGCATTAGGGAAACCCAACTTTTAGGGGATCTGAAGTTTTGGTCTTCACACTTGCTGGGCAAACACTTTACCCACCTGGCCACTGCACAGCCCCCACCTCCTGTTTGAGACTGAACTCAGATTTGAGATCCTCCTGCATCAGCTTCTCGGATGCTGGGATTACAGGAGAATGCCACCATACCCACTTCCAGTAGTTATCTCAGTCCTCACCACCACCCTGTGATGGAGGGGCTGTTATTACCTTCACTTTACAAATGAAGAAACTGAGGCAAGAGAAGTTAAACCAGACTAGCAAGTGGTCCAGGATAGGACTTTTATTATCTTATTTATCGATTTGGACAATGCTGGGGGGTGAGACCTACAGGCATGCGCCTACTGGACTAGTCTCCAGCCCCAGGGTAGGATTTGGAACTGGGGAGTCTGGCTCTGGCAGGGTCCTGACCGCCCTGCTCACATTGAGTCCCACAGAGTCCTCAGCAGTTTCTGCGGGGCCAGCGCTTAAGACAGTGAAAGAGACTGTTTCTCCGGACCAATGTGGGATGGAGTGGGATGTGTATGGTGTAGCATATGTGTGGTGTGTGTGGTATGCTGTCTGCGTGTGGTGTTTATGGTGCTTGGGGGAGTTGTTTTGCAGGGTATTTAAGAACATGGGGTGAGTCACATTTCTGAGTGCCTGGCTGGCAGCAGAGGTAATTAGTATGGGAGCCGAGGCCTCTGCATTCATCCCCATTTATCCTTTCCTCCTTTTGAGGAGCCGCTGCCCTCACCCATGGGTTTGTTGCCACGTATTCATCCGGCCCAGGCAGCCCTGCCTTGAGGCTGCCTCAGAACCTCTAATCTGTATTGTTCCACTGGGGGATCAGAGGTGGGAGGCAGCAGGTGGCTGATTGAACAGGGTGGGGCTTACCTGACAAGGGGCACTTTAGATGGAAGGGGGTAGTGCCTGCCTGGGCCTCCTGCTCTGTGTCCTCTCTCATCCAGCACATCCAGTGCTGAGTGTGGCCTGTAGGGCTGGGATACTCCAAGAGTCAACT